GTCTTTGCAGCAGGAAATAGTACAGGGTTCATAAGCAGATCAATAAATACCAAAAAGTAGGAGTTCCAGAAATGCATTTAACATCTGATGTAAGAATTGCAACATATAAGAATAATCCATTATTGCACATTTATTTATTTATTAGATTTTTATCCTGCCCAATTAGCCATAAGATTCCCTGGAGAGGTTACAAAGTTTTTAAAAATATACAATTAAAATAGCAGTTAATATAACAATAAAATCTAACACTACAACAAGCAAAGACATGTCATCATAAAGCTTCACAGACTAACAATTTATGCAAGGACAGTATCATTATTTGTTTTTCGGCGCCAGGCTAAGACCTTTTTATTTAAAACTTATTTTAATTGTTAAATTATTTGTATTTATAGGATTTTAAATTTTTAGCCGAGAAGTACCGGGGGTTTGTAAATATTTTTTTATTGTTATATTGTTATTATTTATGTATTTATGTATTTGTTTCTGTTGTGAGCCGCCCCAAGGCTTCGTTGCGATGGGGGCGGCATAAAAATGTTTTAAATAAAAAAATAAATAAAACACCAATAAAATATAACAGTATAAAATGGTAAGGTGTTAAAACCGATGACATCATTTTAGCAATTAAAATATTAGGAAAATGAAAGTCTTCACCTGCTGTTGGAAAGCATAGAAAGAGGACACCAGGTGAAACTCTCTGTGGAGCCGGTTCCAAAATTGGGGTGTCACTGTCAAAAAGGCCTTCTCCTTGTAACCACCCTTCTTATTTTCTGAGGAGAGGGCTGCTTAGAAAGGGCTCTGACAATGATCTAAGGGCTGGACGGGCACATGCGGGAAGAAGTGCTCCTTTAGATGTTCTGTGTTTTCTCCCTCCTCTGTTAAGAATGACCACTGTGGCATTATGAAAAGTGCATCATTTTACAAAGGTAGGGACAATGAAACTTATTCCGTTTGGATCAAATGACAAAGAATCATGTTCAGCAACAAAGGAAATGTCCAATTGAATTTCATAACACTTGCAAATTTAAACGTACTTGTTTATACCCATGTATTCATAGACCAAAAAAGGATTGGAACTCAGTTGCATTCTCTCTTTTTCTCCTTAGAAAGATATATAACCAGGAAGAATAGTTATATTCTTAGAATTATTCACAATAATTTGGCCATACACTTGGGAGATGTTTGGAATAATAGATAAATTTGCTGGTACAATAAAAGTGTAGTATGTAGAAGCAAATAAAAACAAAGGAAGCAAAATATTTTCCCTGAATGGATAAAAATTTAAACTGGAACACGCTACTTCTAAGAATAAAAAAAAATGAGTGCAAGTGTAAAAAAGGATAGAAAAGAAAGGAAAGGAGGGAAGTACAAGTTGTTGACCATGTGCTTCAAGGATCTGACTGACTACAAACCTGACTTGAGATGGATCTCTTATGTTTAGTGGCCAAGTCCCTAGTTTATAACATCACTGCAAACAGAAGGCCCCCAGTTCCACTGCTTGACTCACGATGGTTCATTTTTCATTCTCTTAGCTGTGCAGTTTTTAACTTTCCCCAAGTTCCTCTTAAAACGATAACTGTAGGGAGTGAATTACACATGTATTGCCTAATGAACTTTCAGCCCTGCATGAAATGATGTAATGTAATGAAAAACTGCTTTCAGAAGAGATGAAAGAGAACCTGCTTTGCTCCAGTAGAGTTTGACATGGAAATTCTGTATTTTGGAAAATTAATGTAATTTTACAAGAGAGTGTCCTTCAATCACATATTCAGCTGAACCCCAATAAAGCATTTCTCATATATTGTGATTAGTTTTACCCATTGTTCACCTAAAACACCTTTAACTAAAACATTTTATGGCTATTTTCCTATGGAATGGGTACAATTACCTCACCAGATAACAAGGAATGAGGTTGACTCTGATAAGTTACAACAAAAACAATGCTTGTGACTTTGAACTTACAGCATATTAAGACCATAGAAGCAGCAACATGGAGACTTAGATCCAAAACTCCATGAACAGAAGGATAGAAAATGCAGCAGTGCTGCTCTGTAAATAGCACAAGGACTAGTGGAAGAGTTATCTCTGTACAGCTTCACAATTTGCCATTAGTTGCATTGATCAGTAAGAAATACTGAATAAAAAAGTACAGACTAACTTTAGTCTATAAACTTTATTGAGCTATTAAAATGACTCTTGGGATGAGCTTTTAAAAAGTTGCAGACAATGACATGTAAACAAAGCATAATGCTGTTCCATTAAGTTGTAGGTAGACCTCTGATGGAAAATGCTTTCATCTAGCAGAAGGGCATATTTTGATTCAAGCCATTTGGTTAGAGGGGGAAAGCTTAAAAAGACAGGGAAAACCTTTGATTAGATTGTATGTTTTGAAGACCATCCATGTTCTCTCAGTTATAGTTATTTGAGTATCTGTACTCAATACACAGTCTCCTGGGAGAGGCAGCAAACAGTTATTTTAGCTTCATGCCCAACAGTTGCTTTATGAATGGGGTTGCTTTTTCACACCATATTACAATCTACTTTTGCAAGTCTCCTTAATTTCTAAGATGGCTTGTCATGTGGCATGGAAAGCTACTAGTAGCAAAACAGAACCCCAAAACTTCCTTGAGCATGCAGAACTAGTTATGTGGTTCTTCTGCCTCCAACCAATATTTATTTACCATATATACCAGCATATAAGACGACTCTTTTAAAACCAGAAATAATGAGGCAAAAATGGGAGGAGGCAGTCATCTTATATGCCAGGTGAAATTTCTTCATCATATTATATTCATTATTTTTTAAAAATGATAGATAATAAAGACAATTGTATTTACAAGCTCATTTTTGTTTATTAATAATCTTTTTAAAACCCTTCTTAGGGGTACTGGAGGAGCTTGTTCTGCATTGTGTCACTCACTGCCTGTGTTGGTCTCCTCCCTTTCGCCCGATCCCTGCATGCCCAGCCCCTCATGTCTGTCTGTGGTATAGGTGCCAGGTGTCCTCCTTGACCAACTGTCCCCAGTCAACCAGCCCTCTTGCAGGTCACCACCGACCTCTAAATCAGAGAGGGAATGTGACTATTAGCTAGAATATGGTAATGTGACATAATGAGAGTATAGAAACTTCTGGCATATGAGCCCCTTGAAACTGAAAATAATGAAGCAAAATTTTGTGGTTGTCTTATACACCCAGCATATAACAAACATTAGAGTAACAGCCCAAAATATCAACCTTGTCATATGTGTGAGTCACCTTATATGCTGGCATATACCGTAACTTCCAAGTCTCATGAAAAACTAGGGAAGCTATACTGGCCAATAAACTTGCTGAGGTCATGACATCTGCATGGACAAAGTAAGATGGAAGGTAGGAGAAGGTACTGCGCTGTGATGAAAGCTCTCCTTTCCCATTCAGTTCTCCCTGCCCCATTTTTTCTCTCCTTGCCAGAGTTTTGAGTTGATCAAGGGGCTTTCCCTTGCCCCACTCTTTCATTTGCTGTAGCCATTCAGCTTCCTTCATGCCCCACTTCTTTGCTTCTGGGCGTCCTCCACTTCCATGAATCAGACCTAGGCTGAGGGCTACAGGTCACCCACCCCTAGTCTAAGGTAGAGCAGTCTAAGGTAGAACAGAAAGCTGTTCCCATTGTTTAGATTTAGGAGGTTAAAAAAGAAGAGCAACAATTTTTGCTTTTTCTGCTGAGCACAGGAGAGAAAGCAATGATTAGGCCTAAGATAGTGAGGACATAACTATTACAGCAATTTACCAATGGAATGAACTTGTGTAATCCCCTTCTTTACATGTTTTTTTTAAAGTTTTGAAAGGCAACCATTAGGTTGCATTAGACACCAGAAGGGTAGGAAATAAACCATCTGGTCCCTTTTGCTTGTTAAAATTCTGCTAGACCTGTCAAGACCCATGGCAGTGGGCTACCTTAAGTATGCATAGGTTTGTCTGGCTTCCCTTCCCATCGCTCAGAATCCTCAGGTACTATCCCAGATTCTGGCCTCTGAGCAGGATTCCTCAAACAAGACTTTGTCAATCCAGATGTAACACCTACATCGGTTTGTCCAAACTATGTAGTTTCAGGTTCTGATTTGATGGCCACTCACATACCATGCCTTTGTTGGATATTATTGGTTTGGACGTGACAAAAGCTTTGTTTTGCAATACACCTCATCCCTCTTTCTGTGTGCATGTGGTATAAACAATGCTGTATTTCTCCTTGCCTAGGTGTCAGTGTCAACAGAGGAAAATCAGCACTGGCCACATCTCAGAAGGAAGACTTGATAGCAGTGCCACTCAGCTAGTCAACAGCATAGTAACAGTGTTGCCATGGAGAGGGCACCTAAGTTACAAACCTGTGTGCATGTGCTATGTGTTTCATGCAGAATGTGGTTTCTGCATTTCAGACCTAAAATCACAGAACTTCATAGTGTCCACATAAATTTGTTGCTTCGCTTCATAATATAATCTGATATATCTCCTGGGAAGGTCTCTAAAAGAACAATTTCAGGCTGCCCTTTCTAGAGATGTGAGTTGAAGTGGCAAGTCTGATGCTGTTTCTAACACCTCATCACTGGGGTATGACATCTTGATTTTCAGTTTCACTGTTCTGCTCCTCCAATTATAGGTTTTTGAATCACATCCAATAAAATAGCTTTCCTTGGACTCCTGCTGGCCCATTTCCCCACCAGATTATGTAGCATTGGTTCATTCTCCACAGATGCAGAATTCCTGTCGTTTTGTGCTTTAGTGATAAATGTGCTTCAAGGCAGTACTAGTGCAGCTGTGACCCTCATACAAACAATCTTAATTTTAAACATAACTTGGGCCAACACTTTGTTCATTTTGTCTGAATGTTAAGGTGCATTTACTATATTGAGTGTTATAAGAGAATTTCATAAGTTGCTCTCAGCTTATATATAACCGTGGTATATAAAAATGAATTTACTCTATAAAGTACCCTTACATGGTGCATTTTTCCTTTTTGTTTTTAAAAGCGAATGAAGACAAGCAGAAACTTGCAGCTCTTACCTGTTAGGGCACTGCTTTGTTCATACAAATGCTTTAACCGTCGCGACCATGGACTCTTTGGAATTGCTGTTCCCTAGACCGAGCAATGAATGGCGCACATCAACCATCTTGTAACAATGTTGGCATGCTTAAGAACGTAAACTGAAGTTAGCATCTGAACAACATCACGTTCAATTTAAAATGTATGGTTGTGTTGGTGCAACGGTTGCAGAGAAATGGGCAGGAAGTATTCCCTACAGCTGTGCAGGACTGCTGGTATGGTTTGGCAGACCTGACCTTGTTCCTGAAAATGGATGACTCAAGCTAATGACATTGTTTAGCAGTGAGGTAAAGTTTTATCATAACCAACCTGGATTACTGTGATTTCTTTGGCTTGTATGATATGATCCTAATGTGAAATTCTGATGTTTCCCCCATCTCTGAAAATCTAGGGTCAGAACTTGAAAGTACAAAAGAATACTTTAACATATGCCCACTGATTACCTAGTTCTTGATTTCCATTATAAATCCTTCTTTCTAGAAGTTTATAGCTTGGCTTTAATACTTTGCACACAGATATTTCAACACTGGAGAAAATATGCTGGAGTGTTTTAAAAAAAGAAAAAGAGAGCCAGCGCAGATTAAGAATGATTCCTTTGCTTATAGGTGTTTTGATTACAAAAAAGCTGTGTGCAAATGTTGGAAAAATGAACAAACCAAAGTGAAACATGAAGTTAGATATGATGTGTATAGGGCTGCTTGGTTTTCTAGTTTTACTATCTAAGATACTCTTCTTTTGGATTCCTGTAGACATTTTATCTTAAATGTTTCTATGCTGCAATTCCTCATAATTTACAACTTGTTTTCTCATCTCATGTAACTAATTACAGTACTACAGAAAGCAGGACTGTTACTTAAACTTATTTCTAAATATAAACATGTGGCTGACTTCAGTGTTTACATATAAAAATCATGCAGTTACTAATCTAAACGGAGAAAGACTTATTTCAATTTAGAATAATAAGTACAGCAATGTGCTTGCCTAGAGTGCACATTTTATATGCAATAACCCACTCTATTTGAAAAGGGGGGACCCTTTTATATAACAGGATGCAAATAGAATATTCTATAATTAAAACCATATACCAGCAGCATATACATTAGTTAATAGATTTGTTTATTTAGTAAATAATTTTTATCCCACCCAATAGCCCAAAGGCTCTCAGGGTGGTTAACAAATTGCATAATGTTGGCTCATAATGGCATTCTGTGGAATGGGGCTGAATTGTAAATTTGAGAATGGGGTGGGGGTACAAGCCATGTTCTTGGAGGTACAAGTGCAATGAAGGGCTTGGTGGACATGTAGTAGTGAGACTGCTTGGCTAGGGATCTGGGTGATCCTGGTTCTAGTCCACACTTGCTGGATGACCTTTGGCCTGTCACAGACTCTGCCTAAGCACTTCATAGGGTTGATATTGTGAGGGGAAAAAAAGCAGTGGAGAACTAAACTGTCTTGGGTTCCTTGAAAAAGGAAGAAAGGGTAGAATATGAATGCAATGTACTACTTAATTTTCTTCTCATGACAGGAAAGAAACCCCATGTAAGCTATGCTGAGCCCTGTGGAGGAAAGGGGTTAGGTTTAGGGTTAGGGTTAGTGTTAGGATACCTATGCAACACATACTTGTACCATTCTATTTATAGGGTTGTTAGGAATGAAGTGAAGTAAGTAATGAATTTATGGGCCAATCTTAAATATAGTATTTGGCCCAATTCAGACTTAACACTAGACCATGATTAGTGTTTTCCAAATGAGAATGCACAAAGCTCATGTAACTTTTCTCTATAGCCACAAAGAGGAAATAGGCTCCCTGTTTAACATCAACACAATTTATCATTATATTTTAAAAGGATAAATTGTAGCTAAAAGGATTGTTCATTTAAAATAAACCTGAATCAAAATGTTGGTGATTCCATTTTGCGATAAACTAGTGTTAAACAGGAAGCAGATGCTTCTAATCTCCTGCTTGTAGCTGCTCTGAAGGGCGAAAAGGGACAAGGGAGCACAGGAACTAAAGGCTCAAATAGGCTTGTTGACTTAATGTTAAACGATGGTTTAGTGTTGCATCCAAATCTTAAGTATTCATGGCAAATGGTTTTAGTAAGGGATCAAGAAAAATGTGCATGGACTTGTTTTCTGGACAACTGACGTGGCTCTTTAGCATTATATTTATTTGTCTTTCTCTTGCCAGGGAACACTTCCCTGCATTTATCATATTATGCACTGTTGCTTTGTTAAGTGAATAACTGTATCCACCTCCCCTGTCCCCACCCCAAAGGAACAGTGGTGTTGGGTTCCACATAACTAAATTGCTACCCCAGTTTGAATGGCCCAGTTAAGGAAGGCAGGTATCAGGTGTTCCTAAAACTAACTCAAAGATAACTAAGTGCAAGGCTTTATCCAATAGTATTTTAGTGATGGCTTAGTGGAATGTGCTTCTGTTTGTGTAACATGGGGCATCCTTACCCACCTAACGCCCCCTCCAAAAAACTGTTCTTGAGGATTGGAAGATCCTCTGGAACAGAAGGGGGTAAAGTGTGGAAGGCTGCAGAAGACGGGGATTCAGCAAAATTGGATGGAAGTTCTCTCTGCTAGGGTAATAAACAGGAAAGCAGACTGATGACTGAAGATATCTTTATCACTTGAAGGAACAACACAATGTACATTCAATTATATTTAAAAGCAAGCAGGTTGACTTGGAAGTGTACCAACCATGCATCACACTGGTGCTAGATGCAATGCTTTAAAGGAAAGCAAGGTGTTGCGATATGTTGGTCAGATACAGCCAGCCCATAATCATAGTCTCTGATACCCTTTTAAGGCATAGAAGATGCTACATTCATCAATTTTTAAAAAATGTGTTGTTAAAATGTATACCTCACTCTTTATTTCTTATAACTGTTGAAAAGATCCTGGATTGGATACTTGATAACTGAAGGAGTGCCTCCTTCCCTATATGCCCTCTTGTCCCTTGAGATCTGAGGCAGAGGTCCTTCTTTGGGAGCCCTCCCTGAAAAAGATCTGGAGGGTAGCTATCTGGAGGAGGGCCTTCTCTGCAGTGGTGGCTCGATTATGGAATATACTCCCCGGAGAGGTTCGTCTGGCACCAACACTTTTTTCTTTTCGGTGCCAGATGAAACCCTTTTTATTTTCCCGTTACTTTAATGTTTAATCGGTTTTAATGTGGTTTTTATACTATTGAACTATTGGATGCTGTGCTCTATTTTATCTGTTGCTTTGCTGTAAACCATCCCGAGATGCCAGTCTATAAAAGCCATAAATAAACAAATAAATAAACAAACAAGATTTTCTCTCCTGTTATCATCCATCTTACTTTAGATCTTGGGTACACACTATTCTAAGACTTGTTGGATTTAAAGGACTCTGGTTACAGTTCCTTTATCTCATTTATTTCTATGCTCTTAAACTCAGCTATTTACCTCTTACACATGTTATGCAATTGATACAGACCAAATCTTACTGAAATTAATAGAACATAAAGTGTGACTTACTTTGGATCCAACTCTATTACTCGTGTATGTTAGATGTGTTATGTGGGCAATCTCTATTGATGTAATGGTACTACTATTTCTGTCTTGTTTTACCTGGATACTCAGCATTTAATATCTAAAAGTGATGCTTCATTTGCATATTTTTACAGTCAACATATTTAAATTGGGTATACATGGATATCAATTAAAGCTTAGCTAGTTTGAAAAGGTATCTGAAAGAAATGTGGAACCCAAGCTCTTTAAGAAGCAACCGCCCCATGCTTTAGAAGTGGCCATAATTTTTAGCTGCACAAAGATTTCATGGGTGCCAAATCATACTGCCTGGACCTTACTAAGAAACCAGGAACACTCATGAAATCCACCTTCATTACAATATGGAAGCATGGCTGGTTGTGTGTGTTTAATCCATTCTTTTGCAGGAGGCCAGAAACAACATGGGAAGCACTTTAGCAATGGTTTGTGCTCACCTGAGTTTTGGAGTGGCTGCCCAGCATCATATGATCTATCAGAATAAAACAAGAATGACATTTGAAATGTAACAGATATATTAACCAAACATTTTATAATAAGTGAAATATTGTTAATAGAAGTTTTAATTAGAAATTGACTCTTGCTCTGATGTAGCGCTTTCAAGGCTCAGCTTTATTTTCATGGAGAATTAAATATCAGGCAGCTTGACTGCGTGCACTCAGTGTTAACATATGCATTGGTTTGTTTTCATTTCTAATGCAGACAGAGAAATGATTCATGCATAACAGTGAAAGTGCTGGGTTTCAAAGCACCAGGCAAGTGTTACTCAAGTTTAGTTGCTTTATTTCCTCTGTAGAAGACTGAAAAGATCAGGCGAAATACTTTGTAAGCAGGTATTATCAGTATAGACTCTTAAAATTATCTGTAATATTTTTATTTGCTTCTGAGATGATAGAATCACTAAAAAAAAGAAAAATCATTAGTTGGTTATAATTTTAAAAAGTAAGACACACAAGCTACTTAAGCTGTATATCAAGAAGGTTTTTTCCTAAATAATAGAAATCATTCATAGATTTTTTAAAATTACATAAGGTATTTTATGATGCAGTTTGATTCATGCCTATTGAAAAGTAAGTCCCACTGAGTTCTGTGGGACCTACTTCCTATTCCCAAATAAATGGATATAGGATTATAGCTTTAAGTACTTGTGTGCTAGTCATAGTGATCTGATTGCAGTTGCTATGGCAACCAATTGAAAAATAACTTTCAAATACTTAATTTATGGATAATTTATTTTTACATGTTGAACAACTTTTTACAAAAAGCAGTATGTACTGATATGTGTTGAAAGATCTGGGTGGGAAGATATGAGGAAAATAATTCTGAGGACAGAAAAATGTGTCTAAAAAGTATCTTTTTTATTTTGATGCATATAGTACAAAGTTCTTTTCCTAAAATGTGTAAGTAGCCTGCAATTTGCAGTAAAAGAGCTATGTGAACATTTAAGCAAAGATTCAGTCCATTTTAACTTGTAATGAAAACATTTTTGGTAAATCAAAAACTACTGTATGATAAATTATCTGGATATTATTTTATCTATACTATTTATTTCCAGCTCTGAAATATGTCATATGTGTAGTAAAATATATGCAAATTTGAATGATACTACCACAAGTATTCCAAGAAAACATGAAGGATCAATATAACATATTTAAGATGCAATCATTTGCATGTTTAGATAGAAAAAAATCCTACAGCTTCTAGCATACCCCAGTCAGTAAAGAAATCAGTATGGTCAAGGGTCTCAGAATGTAGCACAAGCCAAAGAT